CGGGGTCACCCCAGCCCCTTGTGATGTCATCATGCGCTGTGATTGGCCAAAACATTGCACCTGAGCTGTGGTCAGGTGCATTGCTTTGGCCAATCACAATGCACTGTCAGGGCGCAGTGCTCTGTGTGACGTGGCGGGCGAAAAGCCCGCCGAATGCCCTTAACGTTCACGTGTTCCCCGAACACACAAACGATTGATGTTCGTGTCAAACTAACGTTCAACTCGAATATATAGCCCATCACTAGTCACTTCCAGTCACCTGGAATGCACGCTGGCTCAGTGGATACGAGCTGCGGTGAGGGAGGGAGGACCCTAGTGAGCTGTTTGTTTTGGTGCCCCTGTTTGCACCTGTGATATGTGAGTGCATTTTTTTTTTATTTTAACCACCCTTCATTTAATAAAAACTACTGCACTATGGTTGTTCCCATTGGTATTTATTTTACTCATTTTTGGGTGAATGAGTATTTACAACAGGGGTAGTACAGTGGAGCAAAAAAGTATTTAGTCAGCCACCAATTGTGCAAGTTCTCCCACTTAAAAAGATGAGAGAGGCCTGTAATTGGCATCATAGGTAGACCTCAACTATGAGAGACAAAATGAGAAAAAAAAAATCCAGACAATCACATTGGCTGATTTGGAAAGAATGTATTTGCAAATTATGGTGGAAAATAAGTATTTGGACACCTACAAACAAGCAAGATTTCTGGCTCTCACAGAACTGTACCTTCTTCTTTAAGAGGCTCCTCTGTCCTGCACTCATTACCTGTATCAATGGCACCTGTTTGAACTTGTTATCAGTATAAAAGACACCTGTCCACAACCTCAAACAGTCACACTCCAAACTCCACTATGGTGAAGACGAAAGAGCTGTCGAAGGACACCAGAAACAAAATTGTAGACCTGCACCAGGCTGGGAAGACTGAATCTGCAATAGGCAAGCAGCTTGGTGTGAACAAATCAACTGTGGGAGCAATAATTAGAAAATGGAAGATATACAAGACCACTGATAATCTCCCTCGATCTGGGGCTCCACGCAAGATCTCACCCCGTGGGGTCAAAATGGTCACAAGAACGGTGAGCAAAAATCCCAGGACCACACGGGGGGACCTAGTGAATGATCTTCAGAGAGCTGGGACCAACGTAACAAAGGCTACCATCAGTAACACACTACGCTACGCCGCCAGGGACTCAGATCCTGCAGTGCCAGACGTGTCCCGCTGCTTAAGCCAGTACATGTCCGGGCCTGTCTGAAGTTTGCTAGAGAGCATTTGGATGATCCAGAAGAGGATTGGGAGAATGTCATATGGTCCGATGAAACCAAAATAGAACTGTTTGGTAGAAACACAACTCGTCGTGTTTGGAGGAGAGAGAATGCTGAGTTGCATCCAAAGAACACCATACCTACTGTGAAGCATGGGGGTGGCAACATCCTGCTTTGGGGCTGTTTCTCCGCAAAGGGACCAGGACGACTGATCCATGTACAGGACAGAATGAATGGGGCCATGTATCGTAAGATTTTGAGTGCAGACCTCCTTCCATTAGCAAGGGAATTGAAGATGAAACAAGGCTGGGACTTCCAACATGACAATGATCCCAAACATACCGCCCGGGCAACGAAGGAGTGGCTTCGTAAGAAGCATTTCATGGTCCTGGAGTGGTCTAGCCAGTCTCCAGATCTCAACCCCATAGAAAACCTTTGGAGGGAGTTGAAAGTCCATGTTACCCAGCGACAGCCCCAAAATATCACTGCTCTAGAGGAGATCTGCATGGAGGAATGGGCCAACACACCAGCAACAGTGTGTGCCCACCTTGTGAAAACTTACAGGAAACGTTTGACCTCTGTCATTGCCAACAAAGGATATATAACAAAGTATTGAGATGAACTTTTGATATTGACCAAATACTTATTTTCCACCATAATTTGCAAATAAATTCTTTCCAAATCAGACAATGTGATTGTCTGGATTTTTTTTCTCATTTTGTCTCTCATAGTTGAGGTCTACCTATGATGCCAATTACAGGCCTCTCTCATCTTTTTAAGTGGGAGATCTTGCACAATTGGTGGCTGACTAAATATTTATTTGCCCCACTGTAGATCTTTAGGATTCCCTCTTACAGGAGTTACTCTTCCATGCCCAGGAGTTGATATTGGATGCTTGTTGGCTGCTTTGTTGGCCAAAGCTGGTGAGTGCACAATTCACCTCTAGCATGTGGGGAAACACTACTATTTTATGTAAAGAAAATGTTATCATGTAATTCTTTTTTCACACGAACACAGTAGTTTGGGACTTCTTATCTGTTTACCTTGACAGACTATGATTTATTTTTTAATTTGATTGTTTGTGTTGGTAATTATTACACTGTGAGCAATTTTGTATTTACACATTGGATCACATATGTTGATTATGAAGGGCTAGCACCTTTTACTGTTTTTTTGCAAACATTATAGGTGTTTTTTACACTTTCAAGGGGCAGCTGCATTTATTATATAGTTTGGTTGTTGCCCTCTTATAATTAAAAATGTTATACTGTGTTTGCTCATATTTCCTTTACTGTCTTGATCTACCTTTTGATTTTGAACTTTTTTTGTGGGAGGCAGTAGAGATTGTACATTTAAATTTTCCTACTTAGTATCCAGTTATGTATTTAAGTATGTCAGTTAGATAGGGTTAACTAGTCTCCTATGCAGGGGCGGACTGACAACTCATGGGGCCCCGGGGCAATATGGGATCATGGGGCCCCTGTGTCCTCAGCCATAGCCAAAAAAGCCTATGAAAAAGCCAATTAAAGGTACCAGGGGCATCTCATGGGGCCACCTACTGACCCCGGGCCCTCGGGCAGTGCCTGAGTGCCCCAAATGGTTAGTCCACCCCTGCTCCTATGTTTTTTTGTTGTATCTTAAGCATAGAATGAAGAGAATATATATTATACAGCGGAGTAGGGAAATCTGAGGCTACAATCATTCCAATAATACATTTGGATAGAGTGGAGCCCTCTAGAGGTGGGGACTTTAAATGTAGCAAAATTTCCAAATAACACCTTGTAATATATGATAACATATTGCATTTTTTCCAAATGATCTAAAAAACATCAGATAAAATGCATAGAACACATATTGAAGAGGCAACCAAATGAGATGGAATACATGAATGATACACATAAACAGAACCAAACATAGAAAGCACAAAATAGCATCTGACACGAGATTCTCTCTTATTCATGCTTGTATGTTTGATGGTTCAGGATTTTTTTTCTGCAATATGAAAATAGTGCCCATGAGGTAATCATTATACATAGAAAGTACTGATATAGCAGAGGTGGGAGCAATATGCACTAACCTAGTAATCAAGGAATTACATGAGATCGGCAAAATAAAGTCACATAATAGATAAATTATGTCGTTGCCACATGTAGTCACACCAAAGGAGATACCCCCAAGTCCCAAACATCTATAACCACTGGGGTCACCAAGAGAAGGAATGGGGGCTGAAGATGTCAATAATGCTAAAAGGAGAGAGGGGGGACATGAAAAATATAATACTATAAAAAGCATGGAAACATGTCTCAATTAATGCTATGCCCTAGAAAGCACAACTTATATTTGTGTCCATAGAATTATTATTATTATACAGTATTTATATAGCGCCAAGAGGTTTGCTCAGCGCTGTACAATATAGTGGGAGACAGTACATGAGACAATACAGTAACAAAACAATACACAAGGGGTTTGAGGGCCCTGCTCTTTCTAGCTTAAAATCTAGGAGGAGAATTGACACTATGAGCACTATGTACCATGGAGATTGTGTTTTTTAGGAAATAGCATCCATCCATCCATTTTTTAGTATGAAATTTTTTTCATGTCACCTTCCCCCTATTTTTTTTAGCATCATTGACATCTTCAAACCCCCGTTCTTTCTCTTGGTGACCCCAGTGATTATAGATGTTTGGGACTCGGGCATATCTTCTTCAGTGTGACTACATGTGGCAACAACATACTTTCTCTATTATGTGATTTTATTTTGCCGATCTCATGTAATTCCATGAATACTCAGTTAGTGCATATTGCACCCACCCAGGGGCGGACTGACCATTCGAGAACCCGGGCACTGCCTGAGGGCCCAGGGTCAGTAGGGGGCCCCCATGAAATTCCCCCTGGTACCTTTTAAAGGCTTTTTTTGAGTGTGGGCAAAGACACAGGGGCCCCATGATCTCCTATTGCCCGGAGGCCCCATGAGTTGTCAGTCCACCCTTGCACCCACCTATGCTATACCAGTGCTTTCTATGTACGATGATTTCCTCATAGGCACTAGTTTCATATTGCAGAAAAAAATCCTGAACCAGCAAGCATACACCCCTGAAGAAGAGATGATTACGAAATGCATCGGGTGTTATTCTGTGCTTCTTATGTTTGAGTTCTGTTTACGTATATCATTTATGTATTCCATCTTATTTGGTCACCTCTTCAGTATGTGTACTATGCACTTTATCTAATGCTTTTAGATCATTTGGAATAAAATTCGATATTTAATTGTTTTTTGGACATTTTGCTGCATTAGTCCCCACCTCTAGAGGGCGCCGCTCTATAGAGAATAAAAATTATTGCATATTCTTTGTGTAAAACACAGTGGTAGACAAATTGTAAAGCTCTGCACAACATCCCTATAACTAAACCAATCGGTAGACCCTGCTTTTCCCAATGTGTCAAGTCAGATTTTATATTTAACCTCATTTTTTCTTAGATTGAATCCTAGGACTGGAGCTTCTTAATATGCATACTACTAGCCATCATTTGTTTCTGCTTAAATACCCTTCGTTTATCCATTACATTGAAAAGTATTTTGCACTCGGTCCACATAACTCCTGCTCAAATTAATTTGGCTGGTTACTGCCTAACATTTCTGTTATCCATCTGTTGAAATTTTAACAGACCTTTTATTTTTTCCTCATATAACATGAAATGATTTCTCTGCTTCATTGTATCATTGTCTTACATTTTGCAGAGTGGCTTCACGCCGTTACATATTGCTGCACACTATGGAAATGTCAATGTTGCTACACTCTTGCTCAACAGAGGTGCGGCCGTGGACTTCACAGCCAGAGTAAGAAAAGTTATTACAATTCTTGCCTTTCTGATGGTTCATATTTTTAGGCCAAATGGTTTTTCTGTATTTATTTGTTATTCAGTTGAATCTTGTTCAAAATCAAACCTTACCATGAAATTGGATACAATAGGTGATATTATAATATTGCAGTAATTGCATGTGAAATATCAATATAATGTAATGATTTAATGATCATCTGCAGTAGGCAAGTAGGTGTCTTTGTCAAATAGCATATACAGGTATGATAAAACAATTTTCTTTTCTCTGCATGCACAGAATGGGATTACACCTTTGCATGTGGCTTCTAAAAGAGGAAATACAAACATGGTGAAGTTATTGCTAGACCGAGGAGGACAGATCGATGCCAAAACCAGGGTAAGATATTCCTTATTGTGTGTGTGTATATGTGTGTGTGTCTATATATATATATATATATATATATATATATATATATATATATACAGTGAAGGAAATAAGTATTTGATCCCCTGCTGATTTTGAATGCTTTCCCACTCACATAGAAATGACCAGTCTACAAATCGAATGGTAGGTGTATTATAACACTGAGAGACAGAATAGCAGCAAAAAAATTCAAAAGAAATGCATGTCTGACACATTCTGCACTGATTTGCATGTTCATGAGGGAAATAAGTATTTGATCCCCTATCATTTAGCAGGATTTCTGCCTACCAGGTGTATTTCATACAGCTAACAAGCTGAGATTAGAAGCAGTCTCTTAAATGGAGTGCTGCTAATCTCATTTTGTTACCTGTATAAAAGACACCTGTCCACAGGAGCAATCAAACAATCAGATTCCAAACTCTCCACCATGGCAAAGATGAAAGAGCTGTCCAAGGATGTCAGGGACAAGATTGTAGACCTACACAAGGCTGGAGTGTCAGGGCATTGAAAATGGGTCGTGGATGGGTGTTCCAACATGACAATGACCCAAAACACACGGCTAAGGCAACAAAGGAGTGGCTCAAGAAGAAGCATATTAAAGACCTGGAGTGGCCTAGCCAGTCTCCAGACCTTAATCCAACTGAAAATCTGTGGAAGAAGCTGAAAGTTCGAATTGCCAAACATCAGCCACCAAACCTTAATAACTTGGAGAGGATCTGCCAAGAGGAGTGGGCCAAAATCCCTCCTGAGTGTGCAAACCTGCTGGCCAATACAGGAATCGTCTGACCTCTGTGATTGCCAACAAGGGAATTGCCACCAAGTACTAAGTCATGTTTTGTGAAGGGGATCAAATACTTATTTCCCTCATGAACATGTAAATCAGTGCATAATTTGTTTTGATTTTTTTGTTGCTATTCTGTCTCTCAGTGTTACAATACATGTACCATTCGATTTTTAGACTGCTCATTTCTTTGTGAGTGGGCAAACATTCAAAATCAGCAGGCGATCAAGTACTTATCTCCTTCACTGTGTATATATATATATACTGTATATACTATGTGTGTATGTATATATATATATATATATTTATATATATAGACATTTAGATTGTAAGTTCCATGAGCAGGGCCCTCCTATTCCTTCCGTATTCAACTGTATTGTAATTGTACTGTTCCCCTTTATATTGTAAAGCGCTGTGTAAACTGTTGGTGCTATATAAATCCTGTATAACAATAATAATAATATTAATATACTGTATTTATATCAAAATGCTCTATTACCCACTAGAAAGTGACTTCAGAGAATAAAAGCATACCTTAGAGGCTACTGACTGTTCTTACAAATTTTCAGTTAAGCAATGATTTCAAATTGCCTGTAGAATCATTACTGAATATTACAACATCTTCTGACATGTCACTAAGCAACAATGCTAAGTGTTATCTATATTCAGTGGATACTAATATGCTCTCAGTTGCTAACATGCAGTACAGTACATAAGTGTTGGGAGCAACCTGACATCATGATAAACATTCAAGCCAATGTGTGTTAATTTTTAAAACAAAGTTTTTTCTATGTTCAGTCTATAATTTGTAATAAAATTTGTACATGGGAGAAGCCTTATTTACTTATCATATACTCGGCCTCTCTGCTTTGCAGTGCTACACAATGGTTTTGCACTGCTGCTCCTTCTTACACTGCAAGTCTATCAGTTACCCTATCCACTGAAGACATTATGATTACTGTGTGACTGTGTGGCTAATATCTGATCTCGAATGTTGCTAAAGCCCACCTCCAGGCAAAAATGAACAGCTGGGAAATAATGCTCAGCCTTTTTTGTCTGCCTTTTGAAGACACCTACTATATCCTTTCATGTTCTTTAGGCATGCGTCTAGCTTAGCTTGGGTTGAGATTACTCTTATACGTCAATTCTGACACCGTGTCCAAGCATAAAGATGTGACAGTTACTGGGTTCTGGGAATGCTCAATGTAAAGTGAGTATTGTAGAGATCCCTGTGGACTAGCATGGAGCATTTGTGGTGCTGCCCTCAGGGTCCTTGCAGACAGTAGTCTGTGTTTTCCTTAGTTAGGTTCTTACTTAGGCCATTGAAGGAAAAAGACTGGCTTCTAATTAAATGGCTTGGATTATTTCAATCACACCTACTTTATTTTATGTGTGTTCCATCAAATTCCTCTTTATATTTTTTCCTCTAATTTTAAACCATATTTTGCAGAATTTAATATCAAATGTGGCACTTTTCACAATCGCTTTTCAAGGTGGCTTTGTGAAAGCATTGATATGTCAACCCCTTCATGACCGAGGGTAAAAAAAGCTTAACGCCCAGACCTAATTTTACAACTTTGACATGTGTTTGTAAAACTGTACTTATAAGCGCAACTGCTTTGTGTATCCAGGAGTACCTTGGGGTTTTTTTTTTACAAATTGGGCTTTGGTTTGGTGGTAAATTGTAACAGATATCTCCTGATTTTTTTTTATATCAAAGGAAAACTGACCTCAAAATAGAAAAAGAATATAGATCATTTTTTAACATGTAGCTGTGTATTTTTTGCTACTACCATAACCTACCACCAAACAACAACCCAAAATAAATTCTCCTGCTCCTGATGGTCACAGGACAGTGACTATATATGTGTATGTTACTTGTTGTAGTAGGAATGAGAAATAATAGTGTGCATTTTGCTTTTTTTTAATCCTACCTAAAACATACTGACAAAGTAACTGACACCGATACTAATTTTTAAAAAGGAAATTTAAAAAAAAAAATCCTACCTAAAATATACTTACCTTTGACCCTTACCTTGACCCTAACACTAACCCTGACACTGACCTAGATCAAGCCTTTATCTAGCTATATTTTTTTTCTTTATTATTTTTTTTTTTACTACTTTTGTTTGTTTACATCCTACTACCCTGCAAGGAGAGAGATACAATGTATCTTTCTCTACATTCAGAGGAGAAAGAAAACACAGGGCCAGGCTGCATAGTGACTGATCATTGTGATAGCAAATCAGAGGCTATTGCAGTGATCAGGTGACCAGGAACTGAGAGTCTCGGGTCCCGATCGTTCGCACCCCACCAGCACAAATGCAAGTATACATATATGTGGTGCCCAGGTTTAAGGCCACGTGCTGCAAATAAGTATGTGTAACTGTGTTGTTATGGAGTTAAAAGACTGTAAAAGCAGTGATATCCTGATCTCTTATGTGGTGTGTCTCCAGTCTATGACTCCAGTCTTTGACTGTCCCCTGAAACATGTCCTCATTCTACAACAGCTTCTATAGCATGTTTGCAGTCTCAGACCATCTCCTATTGCATGTCTGCAGACTTTAACAGCTTTTTGTAGCATTATATTCACTAAATGTAATGTGTGGCCCTTTGGTGATGTTAAGGGCCGCATTGTATGCACTTTTCTTTATCACGAACGTTGACCATCATTTTGACTGGCATCGTATTGATTCTTATCCCATTGTAAAATAGTCCAGGTACAGAATCACAGAAAATGGATATCAGAGAGAAAAAACACATAGTACTTTTTGGTTTTTTCCCTTTATTGTTGGTACAGAATGAATGAAGCTAGAAACTTCTGGCCAACAACCATTTCACATGTAACACATGGTTCCCAAGGCATATACAGTGGGGCAAAAAAGTATTTAGTCAGCCACCAATTGTGCAAGTTCTCCCACTTAAAAAGATGAGAGAGGCCTGTAATTGGCATCATAGGTAGACCTCAACTATGAGAGACAAAATGAGAAAAAAAATCCAGACAATCACATTGGCTGATTTGGAAAGAATTTATTTGCAAATTATGGTGGAAAATAAGTATTTGGTCACCTACAAGCAAGCAAGATTTCTGGCTCTCACAGACCTGTACCTTCTTCTTTATGAGGCTCCTCTGTCCTGCACTCATTACCTGTATCAATGGCACCTGTTTGAACTTGTTATCAGTATAAAAGACACCTGTCCACAACCTCAAACAGTCACACTCCAAACTCCACTATGGTGAAGACGAAAGAGCTGTCGAAGGACACCAGAAACAAAATTGTAGACCTGCACCAGGCTGGGAAGACTGAATCTGCAATAGGCAAGCAGCTTGGTGTGAACAAATCAACTGTGGGAGCAATAATTAGAAAATGGAAGACATACAAGACCACTGATAATCTCCCTCGATCTGGGGCTCCACGCAAGATCTCACCTCATGGGGTCAAAATGATCACAAGAACGATGAGCAAAAATCCCAGGACCACACAGGGGGACCTAGTAAATGACCTGCAGAGAGCTGGGACCAACGTAACAAAGGCTACCATCAGTAACACACTATGCCGCCAGGGACTCAGATCCTGCAGTGCCAGATGTGTCCCCCTGCTTAAGCCAGTACATGTCCAGGCCCGTCTGAAGTTTGCTAGAGAGCATTTGGATGATCCAGAAGAGGATTGGGAGAATGTCATATGGTCAGATGAAACCAAAATAGAACTGTTTGGTAGAAACACAACTCGTCGTGTTTGAAAGAGAGAGAATGCTGAGTTGCATCCAAGGAGCACCATACTTACTGTGAAGCATGGGGGGTGGCAACATCATGCTTTGGGGCTGTTTCTCCGCAAAGGGACCAGGACGACTGATCCATGTACAGGACAGAATGAATGGGGCCATGTATCGTGAGATTTTGTGTGCAAACCTCCTTCCATCAGCAAGGGCATTGAAGATGAAACATGGCTGGGTCTTCAAACATGACAATGATCCCAAACATACCACCCGGGCAATGAAGGAGTGGCTTCGTAAGAAGCATTTCAAGGTCCTGGAGTGGCCTAGCCAGTCTCCAGATCTCAACCCCATAGAAAACCTTTGGAGGGAGTTGAAAGTCCGTGTTGCCCAGCGACAGCCCCAAAACATCACTGCTCTAGAGGAGATCTGCATGGAGGAATGGGCCAACATACCAGCAACAATGTGTGCCAACCTT